TAAATTCTAATGATTTTCTTTTGTTGTACCTTATCAATCTCTAAAGTAACATTGCATTAAAATAATTTTAATGTAACTAACACTTTAAGCAATATTAAAATACCTGAATACAATTCAATAGTTTTCATTGTGCAACCATTACTAAAATCCAAGTGGAAAACAGTTTCATATAAAAAAAAGAAACCTTCTCTCTTCAGCCCCTGCCTCTAGTCCTAGAAGAATATTAACCTACATTCCGGCATTCGCCTGTTCTAGGCATCTCATATAAAGGACTCATGTAGGATGTGTCCTTTTGTGATTGGCTTCTTTCACTTAGCATCATGTTTTCAAGGCCACCTGTATTGTAGCATTTATCAATATCTCACCCCCCCCTTTTGCCAAATCAATATTCCATTCTAGGGTCACATTACATTTTATTTATACATTCATCAGTTGATGGCATATGGCTCTTTCCATTTTTAGAGGTTACGGATATGTTGCTGAGAAGGTTTCAGGTCCAAGTTTTCATTTCCCTTGGGTCCATACCCAGGAGTGGAACTGCTGGCTCACAGATCTAATACCATGTTTAATGTTTGAGAAACCACCAAAGCAGCTGCATCCCCACCAGAAGAGGAGGAAGGATTAAGATATAAAGAAGAAACAAACTGAAGTTACCCCATGAGAAATGTTAAAATATAATTGGAACCAAAATAAAACTCAAGATTTTCAAATATATCTCTTCTAGTTCTGTTCACTAAAATGACCAAAGTAACAAAACCACCCTACCACATGAGTCTGGTGCTTTGCTAACTAAATGTATTCTACTAGGTATTCTATGACTAATTCTACTCAGAGCAGAGCAGATACAAAGTGGGCTTGGAACAACCAGTTACTGTCAGAAAATGAAACAAAAAAATATATAGGATCCTATCAAAAGAACACAAAAGGCATCTCACAGTAGCTACATCTAGTCAAGAAATTAGTAGTTGAGCCTCAGAAAAAAACTGCATTTAAGTATAATAAATTGTTTTTAAAAACCACAAATACATGATTCTTTAGAAAGGAAAATATTCTCTCTTCAACTAATATTTTTCTTATGCTTATGTTACTCAGATAATAAAAACTGTTGCTTACGTTTAATTTCAAATAAATTATCAGAAGACTACAGTATATTACTTAAGGGCTACTGTGGTCAAAAGAACAAAATGATAGGGCTTTTCCCCCCAGAAGACATCAGTGGACAGGCTACTGGAACTTCCTGCCAATCCCACAAAGGTCACTCTCCAGACACTCACGCCCCTACTATCTCAGATGTCAATGCGTAGGTCACAGCAGTCTGGTTACGTTTTCAGAGACCCTCCTGAGACCCACAGCCTCCTGGGGCAGAGACAGGATGAAGTGAACTTGCAGCACAGGCCCAGGTTGATTTCACTTTCAGAATGTACTTCGAATAACACAAAGCTGCTTTTCCTTTGACTTTATTTTGTAACAGATTTGAACATTGTTTCTGGTTACTGCCTTAGTGCCAGGGCTCTTTGAAAAGTTCCTGGAAAATGTGTATTATGAAAAACCTGTGTATGGGCTTTAAAGTTTTCTTGCATCACAATAAAATTATCTCATAATTTCATTTTTTCGTGAATCTTTTCAAGCACCCTCATAATTCCCTTACTTGCGTGGTTCATCAGGACAAAGGTCTCCTTCAGGACGACACAGGCCGAGGACTCACAAATCGAGCCTTCTTTTAATATCAATGTAGAGAGGCAAGTTAAGAGGTTTTGTCACCCAAGACGAAAACCTGGACCACCCCCTCTTTTAGCTGATCTATGTGAAAGTTGATGTGGAAAAAACACCAATTTACTCATTTGATATAAAATAAATCCATAATTAGTATTTCAGTCCTGTTTTTATAGCTTCAGGCCAATGAATATTTAGTAATTTAAAATTATAAAAGGAAAATTATGTAATTTTAATGTATAACTGTCATATTACCTTAGAAATTATTGTACCTTTTTTAAGCAAAGAAATTCTCATAAGAAGTATAAAGCCAGTTTTACAGTGAAAATACATGAAAGCATTATTTTAAAAACTGGAAAGAATTCAAAACTACAACTACGGAAAAATCAGATACAGAATATTGATCAAATATATAAAAACGTAGGCATATAATAAAGGATGTTTATCTGGCACCATCAGGATGCACACATTAGTATGCAAGCCTGAATTTAGGGTAAATCAGTGGGGTATGTTTGAAAGCTTTACAAGCAGTACTGAGGTTTTCAACAAATATGGTTATTTTATATGCCTGTTCTGCTCTAAGATAACCTCAAAACTGTCTTACTTGTCTAGAAAAAAAAAACTGTGTCAATGCTTCACTTTTCATTTAAAAACCTATGTGCCTCATCTTTGGCCCAAGAGTGTGACAACTTTTGAATTTGACTCTCTCACTAACAATTGTTCCAGTCATGGTTACATAAAAGGATACATAACTGATGTAAAGCAAACATAAGAAGGCTGGATTCCTTGTAAATTAATAAATTTAAGGGGAGGGGTAGATGAAGGAAAAAGGGAGGGGATGTGGAGAGGGACCTAGAGCCCGCAGGCTCCCAGCCACTGGTTCACTATCCAAATGGCTGGCTGAAGCTAGACCCCAGAACATCTTCTAGATTTCCCATGTGAATGACAGGAGCCCAATCACCGAGTCACTACTTCTGTCTCCCAGGGGCTGCATTAGCAGCAAGGTGCAATCAAGAGCCTGATCCCGGCTGCTCCTCTTCCCATCCAGCTCTCTGCTGTGGCCTGGGAAGAAGATGGCCTAGGTGCTTGGGCCCCTGCACCTGCGTGGGAGACCCGGAGGAAGCTCCTGGCTCCTGGCTTCCGATCAGCCTGGCTCCGGCCAGTGCAGCCATGTGAGAAGTGAAGCAGCGGATGGAAGACCTCTCTCTGTCTGTAACTCTAACTTTCAAATAAATAAATAAAATCATTTAAAAAAGAGCCTGATCCCAATTAACAAAGCAAGTACTTCAATATGGGATGCAGACATTCTAATCATAAGGTTAAACACTCGACGGTTCCTTTTGTTATACTTATTTTTGAAGAGAAAAAATGTGAATTATTTGGAGAAAAAGAATAAGAAAACAAGACATAGGGGAAAGTAGCCATATAACATTTCCATACACACATATCCCTTAATCCATTTCCATGATTAAGAGATAATTTTTTTAAAAATATATCATCTACAATCTGTATGTATTTTCCTTACGTTTTCTAACTTCTATGTATTCAACACAAAATCATTCCTTTTTCTGGGGACCTGAAAGAAAGCTTAGGGAAAAGGATGCAAAGGAAAAGACTGGGTCATAAAATCACGAAGTTAGCAGGAGATTGCACTGAGTAAGGAGCCCAGAGCGTACCACGTGGCAGTACTGATGTCCCTCCAATTACAGTCTCCATATACATCAGTCAGTTGTGAGCCACTGATCTACCATGACCAAAATGCAGTAACTGGTGTTATTAACAATGACCACTAAGTATCGGGAAAAGACAGCCTCTTCAATATGTTCTATTCCTTTATGGCAAGGGAAAAAAATTCATAGTGGTAAAATAGCTAAAAATGAAGTGTTAATATTTAAAGGGCTTATGTTAGTTATCTAGGACACCTCATCCCACCTATCTAAAGTTTAGGTTGTGTAGTATTTTCAACATTTAAATCTGATTTTAAACCAAGATCTTTTGGGGTCAGGATTGTGGTGTAGTAGGTGAAGCCTCCACCTGGGATGCCACCATCCCATATGGGCACTGGTTCCAGTCCTGGCTGCTCCACATCTGATCCAGTTCCTTGCTAATGTGCCAGGAGAAGCAGCAGCAGATGGCCCAAGTGCTTGGTCCCCTGTACCCTCATGGATTCAGCCTGGCCCAGCCCTGGCCACTGTGGCCACTTGAACAATGAACCAGCGGATGGAAGCTTTCTGTCTCTCCTCCTCTCTAACTCTGCCTTTCAATTAAATAAAAGAACACATCTCAAAAAACAAAAACAAAAACAAAAAAAACTAAGAATTCGCGTGCACTGTAATACTTTTTTCACACCCACCTGTTTGATTCTGTTGATCACTTTGGTTAAACCAAACCCCAACATTACTGAACCGTACAATGAACTGCAGTTAGACTAGATGGGCAAGCCCCACCAAACACCTGACTTAAACACTCGCCATGTGTACCTTTCAGCTGTTGGGCAGGGCCAAGGAGCTCCTGGGAAGCCATATTTTGTAATTCTGCTTAACAGGCCTCAACTGCTGCCCACAATCCACAAACTCTCCCAGTTTCCTGTAGGGGCCACCACCACCTGCGCTGGCACCCCCAGCACGGGCTGCTCCACTTCTGATCCAGCTCGCTGCTAATGGCCTGGAAAAGCAGTGGAAGATGGCCCAAGTGCTTGGGCCCCTGCACCCAGGTGGAGGCCCGGAAGAAGCTCCTGGCTCCCGCTGGGCCCAGCTTCAATGCTTACAGCCATCTGGGGGGTGTGAACCAGGGAATGGAGGATCTCTCTCTCTCTCTCTCTCCCTCCCTCCCTCTCTCTCTCTCTCTCTAACTGTGCCTTTTAAACAAATAATCTTAAAAAAAAAATCTTTTCCTTAAAGGGACAAGCAGTAAATACTTTAGGCTTTGCAAGCCCGGTGGTGGAGGGGACTCCTGCTGCTATCGCTCTGCAGGAAAGCAGCCTCACAGGACACAAAGGCTTGTGCGTGCCTGCGTCCCAGTAAAACTTTATCTACGAACGACGATACGGGGAAGTGCACGCTTCCCCACGCTTCACCAGAGTTCACACGGCCATCTCTGAGCTGGCCGGGCCAAGCGCGCGCAGCGAGGCACCGGGCACAGACCCAAGGGCCCTGCTGCCCGGTCCCCGCGCCTGGCAGGCTGGCTGCGGCGCAAGGCTCGGTACCCTGGCCAGCAGGGAAGGCCCCGGCCTCGGGCGGTCACAAACCTGGGAGGGTCGCCAGCGGCGTGCCGGGGTGGTCACTCACCCGGAAATGCCGGCACGGACGCAGGCCATAGCAACAGCGCAACAAGGAGGACGAAGGGCTTCATGGGCGTCGTCCGCAGCACTCCGCCATGCGACCAGAACGTCCCGGGACCACCAGGCCGGGCGCTTCAGGGCCGGAAGAGGGTGTCAGCAGCCGACAGTCCCACCTCAGGGCCCAGGGCGCCCTCCTCGCAACGGTTGCCCCCAGTGCGCAAGCGCAGCGGGGTGGGGGAGGGGAGCACGAGCGCCTGAGGCCCGCCCACTCCCGAGGTCACGTGTGGGGGCGGGGAGACCGCTAGCGCACCAGCCCCGCCCCGACGCGCATGCTCGCTCGGCCTTCACAGCTCAGGCCAGTGGGGGCGCGAACGTCTTGACGCCATGGCTGCTGCTGGGGACTTGAGGGCTTTGGGGCCGGCAGGCCAGGTCTTTCTTGCTTTGGGCAGAACACGGACCCTGTGTAGAAGGCGCTGTCGGGTAAATACAGATAGCAGGTGATCACGAAAGTGTGCAGTGGTTGTCACGGGGGGACCCCCTCGGCACCCCACGCCCAAAGTGAAGTTGTCCAAACGGAGGAAAGCGTTAAGGACCAAAAATGTGCAGGCTCGTTGGTGGGTCGGGGGTGAGATTTGGGAGGTGGGGGAGGAGAGGTAGGGGCGTAGATGTCGCCTCGAGGGCTCGAGTTGTTTTTTGCTTTATTGTTTTAAAGGTGACTTTTTTTTTAATGGCATTTTCTGAAAGGGTAGGGTTAGGGATGGGGGAGGGTGTGACTAGCGAGAGGGTAGCACTAGCAAAATCTGGGGTGACCGTGGCGGTGGCTACGAGAATGCACACTGTTAAACGTACTGGAACTGCAAGCCAAGAGGACCCGTCTTGCCGTAGGATTGTTTTGGAGATACACGGAGCCCTGCATCTCAGAAGGCAAGGTTGCCATAAGGGAGATACTTCAGGTTTTTAAGCTGGGTGAGGTCGTGATCAGTTTGCATGGCGGAAAGCTCACCCTCGCTGTCGTGCCAAGGATGGTTAGGAAGGAGGGAAGGCTAGAGCGGGGGCCTGCCTAGGAAGCTGCTCCAGCCGTACAGGCCTGGGTTGATGGGGGCCTGGACTCGCAGTGGCAGAGGCCGTGGGACACGTGGGCAGATCTGAGGGACAGAGAACCACCAAGGGCAGGGGGCTGATTGAACGTGCAGGATGAGCGAGAAGGAGGTGATGCCCGGTGTTGGGGTGGAGACAGGCGATGAGTCCTGTTTCCAGCACCACATGTGGAGATGGGCTTGCGACTCGCTACCCGCAGTGGAGATGTCTGCAAATGAGGACAGTCTTGCACCCAGGACCCATTCCTGGGAAACACAGGTGGGCTAGAGGGAGGAGGGTGGACCTGCGGAGGAGACCCCAAGTGGGGAGAGGAAAAGCAGCGGATCACCGACGCTTTGTAAAAGAGGAGGAGCCCAGGCTGTCCAGTGCTTCTGAGCCGGCAAAAAAGAAAAGAGAGAGAGAGAGAGAGAGAGAGAGAGAGAGAGAGAGAGAGCTTACGCTTAGCAACTAGATCCCCTGCAGAGGCAGTCTCTGTGGGGGTGTTCGGGCAGAAGCCAGACCACCGTGAGCTGAGGAATGCGAGGTGGTGAAGTGGGGACGGTACAGTGCAGGCGACTTTGTCAGGTTGCTGCAGGAGCTTGTAATGCACTCACCAGCGCTTAGTCCAGAATACAGCTGCGTTCTCCACTCTCGATGTTGCAGCTGGGGCTGGTGTTGTGGCACAGCCTTAAACCTGCAAACTGGCATCCCATGTGAGCACCAGTTAAGTCCCAGCTGCTCCACTTCTGATCCAGCTCCCTGCTAATGCACCTGAGAAAGCCACAGATAATGGCCCAAGTGCTTGGGCCCCTGCTACCCACGGGGGAGACCTGGATTGAGTTACAGGCTCCTGGTTTCAACCATCTAGGGAGTAAACCAGCAAATGCAAGAAATATCTCTTTCCCTCTGCCCGTGACTCTCCCCTTCACTCTTAACTCTGCCTTTCAAGTAAGTAAATCTTAAAAAAAAAAAAAAAGTTGCAATTATTTGGAAAGCAATGTGGAATATGTAATAAAATCCTTATGTAAACACTATGATATAAATTGTGTAATAAAGTGATCACACTTAATGTTCTATGTCAACTGTACTGTATTATCCTATAATACAAAGACAAACAAAATACAAATTAAGGAAATGGACTGAGGTTTTTTGTCACCCCCTAAATTCAGATGTTAAAATCTTAATCCCTGTCTGAGGAGTAAGAGGTGGAGCCGGCCGCCCCTAGTCATCATCTTTATATGCGCTGTCTCAGGATAGGATAGTAGCATCTCAAACGTGCACATTATGTGACATGCTGATTTTTTTCTTTTCCCAGTTCATGGCAGTGTTGACAGATGCAGAACTTCTGGAAGAGCTGCTACTCAGGTGAAAAGTTTGGTGGTTTTAGTGAAAATGCCAAGTTCTGAATATCAAAACTCAAGGCCACTGGACCTGAGAGCAGAAAGCCACAGATTGGAGTGGGGTTCAGAATGGTCTGAGGTTGGTTTTCCTGGTTGTTCCAGCAGAGAGGCCAGGTTGCAGTGCACACACACAACCACCTGACAGGTTTTGGAGGGAGAAGAGAATGTTCACATCCACCTTTTCAGAGTTGAGGGAAAATGCAGACTTTTCAGACAAGCTGTGTGTTCAGCCTGGGGCCAAAGCGGCTGTGCTCCTATGGCTGACTCAGTTACTGAAGTGGGCAGGTCAAGTGGGCCGCTTGCCAGGGAAGCTCAGAAATGCTGAGTGAGGGCCTGGGGCTCCGATCAGAAGGAAGCCAGGTGCTGGGATATGCACCGGCCTACAGTAAGTACTTGGCAAGCTTAGCTCAAGTACGCACTGGACTGAGCAACTGGAATCTAACAGAGGGAGCACCACAAAAGTGCTGGGATGCCACTTTGAAGACAGGCTACAAGAAGAACCATGGTTGCACCTGTGCACCCCCAGCCCTCTGGTAGTGTAAAAGAAGCCCACTGCTGTGTCATGAGCTGCCCTGTGCACCACGGGGCTGATGTCTCTGGCCGACAGCCAGTGAGGACCTGAGGCCTAACCACAGTCACGTGAGTGATGTGGACTAGATCCTCCCTGGACAAGCCTGGAGAGGACCACAGCTAGCCTGCTGATGTCTCCCCCTGCCCCGAAACCTTTTATTTAAGGAACACAAACTGCATGCATTTCATAAGTACAACTCTAGAAACATAATGGTTCTTCCCACCTGACCTGCTCTCCCACCCACACTCCCACCCCTCTCCCTCCTCCCTCTCCTATTCCCACTCTTATTTTTAACTAAGATCCATTTTCTTTTTAAAAAAATATTTATTTATTTATTTGTTTATTTATTTGAAAGGCAGAGTTACAGAAAGGCAGAGAGAGAGAGAGAGAGAGGTCTTCCATCCGCTGGTTCACTCCCCAGACGGCCAAAACAGCCGGAGCTGCCCTGATCTGAGCCAGGAGCCAGGAGCTTCTTCTGGGTCTCCCACACGGGTACAGGGGTCCAAGGACTTGGGCCATCTTCCACTGCTTTCCCAGGTCATAGCAAAGCTGGATTGGAAGTGGAGCGGCCAGGACTCATATGGAAGGTCTATATTCAGATTTCTAGGTATCTCCATCCTGTCTTCCCCTGTGGCTGTACCAGTTTACATTCCCACCAGCGGTGGATTAGAGTACCTTTTCCCCCATATCCTCACCAGCATTTGTTGTTTGTTGATTTCTGTAGGAAAACCATTCTAACAGGAAATCTCATCATGGTTTCGATTTACATACCCTGTGGCTAGTGATCCTGAGCATCTTTTCATGTGTCTGTTGGCCATTTGAATTTCCTCTTTTGAAAAATGTCTGTTTAAATCCTTTGCCCATTTCTTTTTCTTTTTCTTTTTTTTTTCTTTCTTTCTTTCTTTTTTTTTTTTTTTTTTTTTTTTTTTTTTTTTTTTTTTTTTTTGACAGGCAGAGTTAGACAGTGAGAGAAACAGACAGAGAGAAAGGTCTTCCTTTTCCATTGGTTCACCCCGCAAAGTGGCCACTATGGCCGGTGTGTTGCAGCCAGCACACTGCACAGATCCGAAGCCAGGAGCCAGGTGCTTCTCCTGGTCTCCCATGCAGGTGCAGGGCCCAAGGACCTGGGCCATCTTCCACTGCACTCCTGGGCCACAGCAGAGAGCTGGGCTGGAAGAGGAGCAACCAGGACAAAATCTGGCGCCCCAACTGGGACTAGAACCCGGGGTGCTGGTGCTGCAGGTGGAGGATTAGCCTAGTGAGCTGCGGCGCCGGCCCCTTTGCCCATTTCTTAACTGGGTTGTTCGTTTTGTTGTTGCTGAGTTTCTTGATCTCTTTATATATATTCTGGTTATTAATCCTTTATCAGTTGCATAGTTTGCAAATAATTTCTCCCATTCTGTCTGTTGCCTATCCACTTTTCCTGAGTGTTTCTTTTGCAGTGCAAAAGCTTCTCAATTGGATGTAATCTCATTTGTCAATTTTGGCTTTGATTGCTTTGCCTCTGGAGTCTTGTCAAAGAACTCTTTTCCTGTGCCAATGTCTTGCAGGGTTTCCCCAATGTTCTCTAATAATTTGATGGTATTGGGTCATAGATTTAGGTCTTTAATCCATTTTGAGTGGATTTTTGTGTAAAGTGTAAGGTGGGGATCTTGCTTCATACTTCTGCATGTGGAGATCCAGTTTTCCCAGCACCATTTGTTGAAGGGATTGTCATTGTTCCAGGGATTGACTTTGACTTTGTCAAAAATAAGTTGGTTGTAGATGCATGGGTTAATTTCTGGCATTTCTATTCTGTTCCATTGGTCTATCCATCTGTTTTTGTACCAGCACCAGGCTGTTTTGATTATGACTGCCCTGTAGTATGTCTTGAAATCTGGTATGGTGATGCCTCCAGCATTTTTTTGTATAAGATTGCTTTAGCTATTCGGGGTCTCCTATGTTTCCATATGAATTTCAGCATCATTTTTTCCATATCTGAGAAAAATGTCATTAGTATTTTCATTGGGATCACGTTGAATCTGTATATTGCTTTCAGTAGTATAGACATTTTGATGATGTTGATTCTTCCAGTCCATGAACATGAAAGATTTTTCCTTTTTTTTTTTTTTGCCACTTCTTCTATTTCTTTGTTTTATGTTTTGTAGTTCTCATCATAGAAAACTCTGACATCCTTGGTTAAATTTATTCCAAGATATTTAATTATTTTTGTAGCTGTTGTGAATGTGATTGATCTTAGAAGTTCTTTCTCAGCTGTGCGATTGTCTGTGCATACAAAGGCTATTGATTTTGTGTGTTGATTTTGTATCCTGCCACTTACCAGGAATCTTTTGGACCCCCTAAATATAGAATCATGTCATCTGAAAATAGGGATAGTTTGACTTCCTCCTCCCCAATTTGTATCCCTTTGATTTCTTTTTCTTGCCTAATGGCTCTGGCTAAAACTTCCAGGACTATATTGAATAACAATGATGAGAGTGGGCATCCTTGTCTGGTTCTGGATTTCAGAGGGAATGCTTCCAACTTTTCCTCATTCGATAGTGTCGCTCCCCCTCTTTGTGGAGGAACGACACAGGACCCTGCATTGTTCTTTTGTCTGCTCGGCCCTCCCCGGGTTTGTTGCTGGTTCTTCCCGGGTTGGCTACCGTCCCTTCCACCTCCGTGGAAGGGTGGTTCCCCCTAGCCACTTTCCCCACTTCCGCGGGGGAGCGGCACACCGCCGGCCGGCTCTCTCGGGGGCTGCACAGGTGTTCCTTCAGATAGATGTTCCCGGTGCATGTTGTCTCTCTCCTCCTTTATAGTCCTCTTCCGCCAGTCCCAACTCTGCTACCCACACGCCGAGTACGCTGCTCTCCTCCAATCAGGAGCAGGTCCTACAGTTTATTGGTTGAACTGGAGGCAGCTGTGTAGAAGCTGTTTCCTCCTCTCCCAGCGCCATATTGTGGGAGAGCAGATGCACAGAATAAGTCTTAATTCCAGTAACTTAGTCTAGTCCGAGTTGCTCCCAGTTGCTCCCCACAGATAGGACACTGGCCGTGGGTGTGTCATAAATTGCTGTGGTTGTGTTGAGGAATGTTCCTTCTATACCCAGTTTGCTTAAAGTTTTCATCATGAAAGGGTGTTATATTTTATCAAATGCTTTCTCTGCATCTATTGAGATAATCATGTTTTTGTTCTTCAAGTTGTTAATGTGATATATCACATTGAGTGATTTGTGAATGTTGAACCATCCCTGCATTTCAGGGATAAACCCTGCTTGGTCTGGGTGAATGATCTTTCTGATGTGTTGTTGGATTTGATTGGCTAGTATTTTGTTGAGGATTTTTACATCTATGTTCATCAGGGAAATTGGCCTGTAGTTCTCTTTTTCTGTTGTATCTTTTTCAAGCTTAGGAATTAAGGTGATGCTGGATTCATAGAAGAGTTTTGGAGGATTCCCTCCCTTTCAAATGTTTTGAACAGCTTGAGAAGAATTGGAGTTACTTCTTCTTTAAACATCTGATAGAATATAGCAGTGAAGCCATCCTGTCCTGGGCTTTTCTTTGTTGGTAAGGTCTTTATTAATGATTCAAGTTCTGTCTTGGTTATGGGTCTGTTTAGGTTTTCTGTGTCTTCATGGCTCAATTTAGGTAGGTTGCATGTGTCTAGGAATCTGTCCATTTCTTCAGGTTTCCTGGTTTGTTGGCATACAGCTCTTTGTAGTAATTTCTGGTGATTCTTTTATTTCTGTGGTATCTGTTGTTACATTTCCTTTTTCATCTCTAATTTTATTGATTTGGGTCTTCTCCCTCTTTTTTCTTTTGTTAGTTGGGTCAATGGTGTGTCAGTTTTGTTTATTTTTTCAAAAAACAGCTCTTCACTTTGCTGATCTTTTCTATTTTTTTGTTTCAATTCTGTTTATTTCTTCTCTAATTTTAATGATTCCTTTTCTCCTACTAGTTTTGGGTTTGGTTTGCCATTGTTTTTCTGAGTCCTTGAGATGCATTGATAGCTCATTTATTTGGTCCCTTTCCAATTTCTTAATGTAGGCACCAACTGATATAAGTGCTTTTGCTGTATCCCATAAGTTTTGATATTTTGTATTGTCAACTTCATTCATTTCCTGAAATTTTTTGATTTCTTTAAATCAAATGAACCCATGGTTCATTCAGGAGCATGTTGTTCAGTCTCCATGTGTTTGCATATGTTCTAGAGATTGCTGAGTTGTTGATTTCCAGCTTCATTCCATTGTAGTCAGAGAAGACCCATGCTTTTGATTTTGATGTTTTTGAATTTGCTGAGACTTGCTTTATGGCCTAGCGTGTGGTGTAGCTGAGAGAAGGTTCCATGCACTGGAGAGAAGAATGTGTATTCTGCGACTGTAGGATGAAAAGTTCTGTAGATATCCATTAGGC